GTGAGGTGACAGCTTGTTGCGGTTGGTTTTTGTGGATAGCAAGTTGTGGAGGCGCACGGCGTGATGCATGGCGAGGGGCCAGTATTTTGCATCGACACCGGACTGCTGTAGGAACGCGCGGACTTTGGTCGTAAGGGTTCAATTGGTGCGCTCAGCAACCCCTTGTTGGGGGTGAGCGTAAGGAAGGGAGAGGGTGTGAATAATCCCTTTCTTCAGAGTGTATTTTTCCAACTCCTTGCTCTTGAACTCTGTCGCGTAGTCTATGTGCTAGATTTTGAGTTTGCAGCCCGACTGTGACTCCGCGTTGCTGTGCCACACCTTGAAGATATCACACGCCTTGCTACGTGTCGCAGCGTTGGCGACCCAGACGAACCGTGAGTGCGCGTCAACGAAGGTGAGCGTGGATTCTTCGCCTTTGAGGCCGTTGTGGGCGAGGACGAGGAATTCGCTGTAGACCTTCCGTAAATTTTCATAGCGGCTCGTGGATGGTTCGAGGAGCTTGAATGGTTGATGTTTCAGTGCGGTTGCGCGGCAGACGGTGTATGACGGTGGATTGGTGGTGGTGTCTAGTTCAGTACCATCTGGTTGAAGGAGAACGCCTGGGGTGAATACACCAGCACGGATGCAGTTGTTGAGGACTTCCTCCGATCGGTGCCTGAGACGCTGGTGCTAGAGGTCGACAGCTGCGCGTATAGTAGGCAAGCGAGTGTAGTAGCGGCAAAGCTCGTCATCGTTCATGTGCCGAGGGGTGGGGGCGTCAGGAGGTGAGATGGAGAGCCCCAATGCTAGGATGAGTTCGTTCTCGGGGATGGACTGGGTGTTGTCGGAGTCTGTTGTTTCTTCAGTGACGATAGGCCATGGTACATGATAGAGGGGGGGGGGGGGGGGGGGGGGGGTTGGGGTTCCTTGGCACGTGGACGGTCCAGGGGCTCTGAGAAGATTGGGATCCCATGAATCGATGGGGGTAGAGTCTAGGTGTAGTGGGTTGTGAGGGTAGATGTTGTACGGGAGTATTTTGTCGATGTCGGGTCTGTCATGGAGTGGTGATTGAAGATGTTGTTGGTAGGCTAGGGAGGGTGGTGCTGGGGTCGGCCAAGAGGAATATGTTGATGGTGTTGTTCTGCATCATGAAGTTCTTCTTGTTCAGCTCTCTTCAAGTACTCTTCAATTGGTTCCTCTTCTTTGGTCCACGTTGCTTTTGTTCCCCAGTTTGCAGCTGTACTACTACCTGCTGTTGGACTGCCGCCGCTTCCCCAACCCGTGCCATCTGTGTTTTCGGCTCCCCATCCTCCATTGCTTTGTCGTGGTTGTAGCTTCTTCTCCTTGTCGAGTTTGTTGTTCCTCTTCTTCAAGCCGTTGTAGCTCCTTTGATGTGTGATCAGGACAAGACCAAGGGTGAAGAACGTGGAAGGTTTCTCAGTCCAGAGGAAAGGGATTGCCTTGGTCGTCAAAAGTGACTGCGCCCACTTAACGAGTGAGTAGCTTGAGGCGATCGTGCGCGATTGGATCGGTGTGCGTCCTTCGAAGTTGGTGGATTGTTAGTGCTGCAGCCAGTTTTCCGTCTCTCATTCCAAAGGGATGAGGTGTCTGTTATTCTGCTTCGACAATGATATCGTGTTTTCCTTCTCCCATTTCGCCGACCTTGGCCTTTCCTTTGTCGTCCGTCCCTGTGGTTGAGGATGTTGGGGCCATCTGGTCCAGGCGCGTGAGGTTTTGTCTTCCTTGGGTGAGCGTGATGTTTTACCCAGGGGCGTCCATCTGGGTGAGTGTCCCTGAAGCGTGGCACGAGGTCAATGAGGTCACCAGAATCGCCGCTGCAGTCGAGACTGTCGAAGTCTAGAACGCGGACGCCGGTCTCAGGGCGCGCTTGTTCGATGTGGCGAGCCTCCGTGTCGTCCCGCTTCTCCTTTCTCCAATATATATTGATGCAGCGTGTTTCACGGTCAGTGGTCATTTGCACTCCACTGTCGACCAGTTGCATGTAAGACAGGAGATTGAATATCATGTCCTTAACAATGAGGATGTCCTTGACTGTTATGTGGAGGTTGGTGTCACGGGCCTTCAGGACAATGATGCCACACGATTTTGCTTCTAGTTGGTGGTCGTTTACGACAGTGACGATGATGGGTTGCGGGATGGCCCATGCGTTGTAGATGAAGCGACGCGATCCGTCCATGTGCTGGCCGCAGCAGCTGTCTAAGTACCAGATTAGGAGTTGTTCGGAATGGAATCCTTTTGTCGTCGTCGTAGTAGTAGTCGTCTATTGTCGGGTCATTTTTGAAATCTTTGTCGTGCGGCAGGGACTTAAGGAGTGGAATGGGTAGGCTCCAGTCTTGGTCGTCTTCGTTAGTGACAAATTCTCCATCTTGTGTGAATGGGTTGTTGTAGTTGGATGGTTGTGCCCTGATACCAGGTGAAGGCGGGGTAACTGGGTAGAAGTATCTGTGATAGGTGCGTCGAGTTCAGCGATATGTGCGCATCGCCATATTTCTGATGACGTGGCACACGTTTTCGCTGTGGGGGGATCTCTGGTGATGATTTCCATACGGTGTAGGCTGGCGCGGGCCAGATCAATGGTCCATGGACGGTCGATTTGCCTGGCGCGGGTGGTTGGAGCTTTCCGCCTAGGGTTGTGGTGAGCGAGTGTCGGAACGGGAAGGAGAGCGACAGCGCTCCCTTGAGTGTCCGAAAACTTTGCGGTTTTTGCAGTAGTACTGACGAGGGCGATGGTCGCGACTATTACGACGCCTGTCCTGATTTCTGTAGAAGGCAATTCTCTCGCGGCACGGCCCCCTTTCCTGATTGAAAACAATATCATGCTGTTCTTGCAGAAGGGCGGCGCAGAGTGTGGCTTTTGGGATTGCGCCTTGCTGTCGTAGTGGGGATTTGCACGACGTCCAGTCCGGTCCCAGCCCAGCAAGGACTATAGTGACGAAAATGTCTTCGGCGATCGAGTTTCCTATCTTAAGGAGTTGATCACGGATGCTGCGACCGCGATTAATGTAGAAATTGGCCTTTTCGTAGGGAGTCATTTTGGCTTCCATGAGTTGCTCCAGCACTCGGCTCAAGGAGACGGAATCCTTAGGCTGGCATAGCTTAGCTAGGTAGTTCCAAGCCTTCATGGCGGGAGCAGAGTCGGTTTTATACAAGCGTATGCCGAGTTGTTCGGTCGGCGACATATTGCGTAGGAGAACGCTGTACGCCATGAGTCGCAGTAATATTGCGCCTTGGCTTCGTCGATGTCGATGGTGGGTCCGGCGTAGCTTCCGTCAAAGAAGGAGATGATTGGGCACTTTGGTGGAGCAGTTCTAGCTCAAAACTCCACGTGTAAAAATCCAATCCGTTGAAGACGGTGCTGGTGCGAATCTTGGATATGGCCAGAAACTTGTTATGGGCAGTCATGATTGCTTCGTCACTTGGGCGTCATGAGATAGGAGCAGGAGAGTCCGACCCAAGGTTGAAGGTGGTTGGGGCCGGTTCCTTTTCGGGGAAGGCCGGTTGGGTGGGTTGATGGGAGGTGCTCGGGTCGCCATTTTTCAATTGTTGGAGTCCTGGCTCCAAGGTTTGCATGCGTTGGATGAGTTGCTCCATAATTTCGTTACTAATGGGAGTGCTTGCCGCCGAGTTCGTAGTTGGGTTGGCAGGAGCTTCGGCGGTGGGAGCCGTTTGCCCACCAGATCCTCCAGCCATGTTTCGGCGGGAGCGCGTACCGGACGCCACCTTGAACTTGAATTTAAATCAGAGATGGAGGTGCGAAGAATCCTGAGTGGCTCTCACACCATGTTGCAATTTGATAAACATATTTTTTAGGATCGGCTCGGGCTGATTGCACAGAGTGTAGCAGCATAAGATTGTTAGTCATTGAGTACGGTCTCTGTCAGTTGAGGGAAATTTTGAATCTCGACATAAGTGACTATAAGAGTGCGATACATGAGTTTATATAGGAACACACGGGAATACGAAGGCCCATAACTAGCATGTACTCTGAGGGGGTACATTTCACTTAGGGCTAATCTAGATCAATAAAGCAACAGTATAGTCCGGTAACTGTACGCGGCACGGTAATTGTTTGAAAGATTTCCCGCGCTTCGCACTTCAAATTCTTCCTGCTTGCAACCGTCTTCATTTTTTGTCGCTCAATCTTCGTCCACGCAGCAGTCATATTCGTGTTGTGGTTACTTCTGGAATGTTTAACAACAATTCCATATCGTAACAAGATGCACAACAAAATAATAGTTCACGAAACAAGGTTGAAGCCTATGAAACTTGAATAGTTGGTGTAGCATTCATTTTAAAGAGTTTCATCGAGTCCGACAAAAAAGGAAGGACGATATTTCAACGTTCTGCAAAACGGCAAAAATTGTGACCTAGCCCAGCTGTCAAGTCCCTACAGTCGCTTGGCGAATCGCCGAAACCTTTGGTGATGCAAATGCTGCTTGTCGTACCTTTACCGTCTTTCTCCGTCTTGTCTCAGTCTTCCCATTGGACTGTTCCGTCCACTTTCCGTCTGGGCAGAAGCGCGGAGCTCCGCGCACCAGCATCTCCGCCCTAACGTCCGCGAGTGAGGAATATTACCAGACCGACCCCTTGGGAACTCCTCTGACAGTAGAGAAAGAACGGACTAATGTATGGTTCAGATAGAGGAGTAGCGGTTATAAGCGGTGATGATTCCTCACCGCTATAAAATGCACAGAATTGCACGGAACCGTTATTATAAAACGAATTTTGATATCCCAGAACACGTCATGAGATCTCAAGGTGGGCATCCGCGAATTGCGCACCTAGTCAAAACTCTTACCTGCTAAACTTGGCTAGCTCTTATCTCATGTGAAGTCACTGCTGTTGGTTGGTTGGTTGTCTGAACTGGACAAGTCCGTACTTTTCCTGCTTGTCCTTCTACTCCCATCGTCTGGTACCAATCTCAGAAAATAAGTATTACTGCGTGGGGGTAGTTCTTATTTAAAGGTTTTGCAGTCACTTCTGCAGCTAGGTCTGCAGCCATGGCGGACAACCGTCGATGGTTCAACATGCGAGCACCGAAGCCTCCTGGACCTGGTCGGATCCGGGAGGACGAGGAGGGAGTTGATCCTCCGGAGCAGGAAATGGATCCTGCGTCCGACATTACTAAGCAGAAAGTGGCTGCTGCGAAGAACTACATTGAGCAGCATTACCGGAACCAGATGAAGACGATTCAAGAACGCAAGGATAGGTACAGTCCCGGTTCATTTGATTCCTTTCCGCAATGCGCTGCAACTCAGGTGAAGTAAGCGGATACATTTAAGCGCATCTTGAGAATAAGCAAAATAATACGCCTGCAAGACCAGATGCATATAGGTGAAAGGTGGAAGCCAAGATGCATTTTTAAACCGGAAACATGCCCGTCGGAAAATTGGAGCACATCTCGGCTTTATAGTTAATGTTCAGTTTTCACGTTGATGTCTCAACATTCTCGCGACATTACTTCCTTCATGTTTTTCCTTCATGATTTATACTTTTCGCGACAGTTCTTCGCACGAATTTTGCGGCGACGATTCACTGATATAGTGAGCGACTGAGTTGTGAAGCGACTGAGCGATAGCTCGAACGTATTATTAACGAAGGCAATCGGTGGTAGTTGGAGTCTGACTACTAATTTACATGCAGATCACGAAATCGCTCACGCTTCTGTGAACCAGCAGGAGCAGCAGCTTGCAACTATCAGGACTGTCGGGTCGGCCATGTGTCGCGAGCTGGCGAATCCTTGCTCGATACAAGGTTTCCAAAAGAAGCGGCAGGAGCGAATCGCATGGTCGTGCGATTGGCTCCGCCGCTACTCTCGCCACCTGATGTCAATTACGGGACTCAGTCCTGCCCTTACACCGTGATTTTTCTTCGGACGGTATGATGAGCTGCCGCGGAAGTTGGAAGGAGGATGACCGGCCGAACGGAAGCCAGAGCCTGGTTTTTCCGGCAGAAGGCCCAATGCCGGCGGGATACGGGAGTTCCAGTTCAACTTCCCGGATTCTTTTCTTCCTATCGTGTGTTTCTTAATTACTGCTGAACTGACCTGACAATACCTGACCTAACCTGACCTGTCCTGACCTAACCTGACATGAGCCCCCATGCGAGACGGCATGAGCTAGGGCTGAGTGCTGGGGGAGCAGGAGTCAGGACATGCATGAAGACCAGCAGAGTCGCGCATCATGCAGGATCCGAAGAGGCGCGAAACGGAGACACGCGGTTGCGTCGTTTTTCACCTTCCTTGTGCTGATCGCTTACCCACATTACCCGTTGACAGGCGGAACGAGCTGGAGCGGAAGCTGGAGGAGGAGGACGTGCCGGAGGAGGAGCAGCAGCGCATCATGCAGGAGCTCGAGCGGCGCGAGACGGAATCATGCCGTCCGCCATTCATCCCTTCCCTTATCCCACTCTCTCTGGTGCCTCACGCCTTATGAGACAGACATGCCCCATCCGCCATCTTCCTCACCTCCCCTCCCACTCTTCCCCTCTGTTATTTGGTCACCTGCCCTCCCTTACGCGCGTGGCAGGCGGAACGAGCTGGAGCGGAAGCTGGAGGAGGAGGACGTGCCGGAGGAGGAGCAGCAGCGCATCATGCAGGAGCTGGAGCGGCGCGAGACGGAGTTCCGCCGCCTGCAGCGCCACAAGATGAGCGTCGACGACTTCGAACTGCTTACTATTATTGGGCGAGGGGCCTTCGGGGAGGTACGGGGGATGAGGCGGAGGAGTTGATGAGTACAAGGTGGGGGAAGGGAGAGAACGGAGGGACGGGTCACAAGATGAGTGTCAACGACTTAAAGATTCTTACTATAATTGGGCGAGGGGCCTTTGGGGATGTACGTGGTGAAAAGGCGTTGATGGGTAAAGGTAGTGGGAGGGAGAGGGGAGTGTGGTTTCGTTTACTAGCCCAATTTCTCTGATCTGTTCCCATGCCGCCCCTGTGCTGTCCCCGTGCCATCATCATGCCTCCCACAAATTGCTCCGCCGCCCACTTACGGATGTGCCGCCCACTCATTGCGCTGCCGCCCACTCACTTGCAGGTGCGCATCTGTCGGGAGAAGAAGACGGGCAGTGTGTACGCCATGAAGAAGCTCAAGAAGGCAGAGATGCTTCGGCGCGGCCAGGTGTGTGTGTGGGAGGAGGTGGGGGGAACGGCTGGGTGGATATGTGTGTGTTTGTGTGTGTGTGTGTGTGTTTGTGTGTGTGTGTGTGTGTGTGTGTGCGTGCATGCATGTTTCTGTGTGCGTGTGCATGCATGCATGAGTCGGGAGAAGAAGACGGGCATCGTGTACGCCATGAAGAAGCTCAATAAGACTGAGACGCTCGGGCGCGGTCAGGTGTGTGTGTGTGTGTTTACGCACGCGCTTGCACGCGTGGGCGCGTGCGTGTAGGAGGAGGAGGAGGAATTGGGGTGTGTCGTGCAGCTCGTCTTTTCTTGATACAGCCGTTTTCCATCCTTCTTTGGCCCTCCCCACACTTTGTTAACCTTCTGATAACCCTCCTCGCTACAACCCCTCGTCCAACCCTCCTCAAAACCCCTCCAACAACCCTCCCACAGGTGTAGGAACACGTGAAAGCAGAGCGCAATCTGTTGGCTGAAGCCGAGAGCAAGTGCTTCATGCAGCTCTACTGCTGAATGCAATCCCCCTCTACCCCTCTTTTCCCTTCCTCCGCTCCACCCTGTCAACAGGTGGAGCACGTGAAGGCAGAGCGCAACCTGCTGGCGGAAGTGGAGAGCAAGTGCATCGTGCAGCTCCACTGCTCGTTCCAGGACGAGGAGTTTCTGTACCTGGTGATGGTAATTGCTTCCCTCTTTGAACTCTCCTCGTTCTACCCCCCGTAACAACAGGTGGAGCACGTGAAAGCAGAGAGAAACCTCCTGGCCGAGGTGGAGAGCAAGTGCATCGTGCAGCTCTACTGCTCGTTCCAGGACGACGAATTTCTGTACCTGGTGATGGAGTACCTGCCGGGCGGCGACATGATGACGCTGCTCATGCGCAAGGACACGCTCACTGAGGATGAGGCGCGCTTCTACGTGGGCGAGACGGTGCTGGCGATCGAGAGCATCCACAAGCACAACTACGTGCACAGGTAAGGGGGAGAAGAGGAGACGTACAGCTGCACAGGTGGGTCGGTGGGAGGGACGTGACAGAGGAGGAGGGGCGCAGGTGAGTGGGTGGGACAGAGGGGACTGACAAGGAGGGGTGCAGGTGGGTGGGGTTTGAGAGAATGGGGTTAGAAGGAGCGCATCTGGTTACCACCAGCGCTTGGTGCCTCGTTCCAGGACGAGGAGTTTCTGTACCTGGTGATGGAGTACCTGCCGGGCGGCAACATGATGACGCTGCTCATGCGCAAGGACACTCTCACGGAGGACGAGGCGCGCTTTTATGTCGGCGAGACGGTGCTGGCCATTGAGAGCATCCACAAGCACAACTACGTGCACAGGTGGGCCATCTGGTGGGAAAGAATGGGGGCACATGTGGGTGGGTGAGTGGGTGGGAAAGATTGGGGGGACAGGTGGGTGGGTGGGAAAGAGGGGGGGAGGAGACAGGTGGGGATTGAGAGTGGGCTGAGAAGGCGGGCATGTGGTTACCACCACCAGGGCTGGGTGGTTGGTTCCAGGACGAGGAGTTTCTGTACCTGGTGATGGAGTACCTGCCGGGCGGCGGCATGATGACGCTGCTCATGCGCAAGGACACTCTCACTGAGGATGAGGCGCGCTTTTATGTTGGAGAGACGGTGCTGGCCATTGAGAGCATCCACAAGCACAACTACGTGCTCAGGTGGGCGGGTGTTTACAGGGAACAGAGCTGTGCAGGTGGGCTGGAAAGAGGCGCACAGGTGGGTTTTGAGTTGACTCAATGTGGGCGAGACGGTGCTGGCCATTGAGAGCATTCACAAGCACAACTACGTGCACAGGTGGGTGATAAAAGATGGCACACAGAGGGGCGGGTGGGAAAAACAGGGGGGACATGCTGTCCAACGCGTCTGCCCCTCTTCCGTCACCCCTCCCATGCTGTCCAACGCCACGCCTCCCTGAATGGCACCCAGTCGGAACCTCCTTCCCTCTTCCCCCTCTCTCCTCACACACACACCCTCCACCCCCGCCACCCCTTTCCTCCCCCCCTGCTCCTCCGCCCACCTCCACCCCCATCCTCCTCCTCCCCCCCCCCCTCCTCCCAGGGACATCAAGCCAGACAATCTGCTGCTGGACCGCCACGGGCACATGAAGCTGTCGGACTTCGGGCTGTGCAAGCCCCTGGACACCAGCACCTTCCCCGCCGTCGACGTCGAGGAGGCCGCTGCCATGCTCTCCAACGCGTCTCTGCCTCTCTTTTCCATCTCCCGTTCCCCACTCCCCGTCCTGCTTCCCCATCCCCCTCCTCTCCTTGCATCTCCCCCCGCCTCCCCTTCCGCCCCTGCCCCCTCCTTCCCCCCCCACCCCCTCTCCCCCCCACAACTCCACCCCCTCAGGGACATCAAGCCGGACAACCTGCTGCTGGACCGCCACGGGCACATGAAGCTGTCGGACTTCGGGCTGTGCAAGCCCCTCGACACCAGCACCTTCCCCGCCGTCGACGTCGAGGAGGCCGCTGCCATGCTCTCCAACGCGTCTCTAAACGACAACCAACAGGGGTCAGGCAGGAGCCAGGCGGAACAGCTGCAGAACTGGCAGAAGAACCGTCGTACGCTGGTGAGTTGGGGGTGCTGAAGGGAGGTGGTATGTGTGCCCTTCAGGGCGAGGAGGAGGCGGCTGCGATGCTCTCCAACGCATCTCTGGACGGCAACCACCCGGGATCAGGGCGCAGTCAGGCGGAGCAGCTGCAGAACTGGCAGAAGAACCGCCGCACTCTGGTGAGTGGGGGGTGAGGTTGGGGGACAGGCTGATCCGGGCTTTGCTATGCATTTTGCCTCTCCAACCCAGTCCTTTGTTTTTTCCTCTCCTGCTCTCCCCTTGCTCCACCGGGGTACATAGTTCCCCATTCAACCAGTTCCTTCCTTCCTTTTTCTCCCTTTGTCCTCCCTCTCCTGGTATTCCTCCTGTCTCTCAGGCCTACTCCACGGTGGGTACTCCTGACTACATCGCACCTGAAGTGCTGCTCAAGAAGTCGGGAATACCCTTTCACCAGGCTATGCATTCACTATCCAACCGTTTTCTTCCCTCCTTTCCCCCACTGTCCTCCGCTTCCTCTCCTGGTATTCCTCCTGTCTCTCAGGCCTACTCCACGGTGGGTACCCCTGACTACATCGCACCTGAAGTGCTGCTCAAGAAGGGAAGGGATACCCCTCCACTAGTTCCTTATCCAACCGCTTCCTTCCTTCCCTTCCCTCTGCCCCTCTTCTGATTCCCTTCCTGTCTCTCAGGCCTACTCCACGGTGGGTACCCCTGACTACATCGCACCTGAAGTGCTGCTCAAGAAGGGATACAGCCTGGAGTGTGATTGGTGAGTGAATGTTTCTGTGTGTGGGTAGAGAGGGGGGGGGGAGGGGTGGGGGGAAGGGGAGGTGGGTGTGGGTGTGTGTGTGTGTGTGTGTGTGTGTGTGTGTGTGTGTGCATGTGTGTGTGTGTGTGTGTGTGTGTGCGCTGCGAGCGCGTATGTGCGGCATGAGTCTTCCATGAACCCAGCCACTCACTTTTACTTTGTTTCCCTGCATCGTTTTCTCTTCCCGCCACTCACCAGGTGGAGCATGGGAGCCATCATGTACGAGATGCTCATCGGCTACCCGCCTTTCTATTCTGACGACCCCATGACAACCTGTCGCAAGGTATGATAGTAACACGTGTCATTGGAGTGAATTGAACACATGACAGCAACTCACAAGCTGCATCGAGTTTTGAGTCGACTCAAAACGTTCTACTCTGACGACCCCATGACAACCTGTCGCAAGGTATGATAACACGTGTCATTGGAGTGAACACATGACAGCAACTCACAAGCTGCATCATTTCTTCTTGTAGAGGTGATGTGGTGTGAAATACTACTCTCTCCTATCCTAAGGTGCAGTGCAGTGTGGTACAGTGCGGTACGGTGCGTTGCAGAGCTGGTGCAGTGCAGTGCTGCTGGGCATGCGTCGCACATGATCATCTCCTGCCAAACCCTCTAAACCCCTTGATATCCTCCCATCCTCCCTCTCCCTCCTTACAAAACTCTCAGATTGTAAACTAGCGCACACGCCTCAAGCTCCCCACGGAGGTGATAATCTCCCGAGAGACCGAGCGCGTAAATTTTTACCCACCCCCACCCTTCCCGCGCCCTCTTTCCCCACCCGTTCTTCACCAGATTGTGAACTGGCGCACACACCAAATTTCCCGAGGAGGTTATCATTTCTCGGGAGGCCAGGGATCTTATCTGCCGCCTGCTGTGGCAAGCCGTGTTGGGAGGCTAGGGACCTCATCCATTCCCCCAAACCACCCTTACCTGCCCCCCCCACCCTCCCCCGCTCTCTTCCAGATCGTCAACTGGCGCACGCACCTCAAGTTCCCCGAGGAGGTGATCATCTCCCGCGAGGCGAGGGACCTCAACTGCACCTAATTTCTTCCCCCACCCCCTCCCTTTCCTCGCCCCCATTCACCCTCGTTCATCGTTCCCCTACTAGATTGTGAACTGGCGCACGCATCTCAAGTTTCCCGAGGAGGTGATCATCTCCCGGGAGGCCAGGGACCTCAATAGCGCCTAACCCTTCCCGCACCCTCCCCCTTCCCCCGGCCCCCTTCAACCCCGTCATCCCCTCCCAGATGTGAACTGGCGCACGCATCTCAAGTTTCCCGAGGAGGTGATCATCTCCCGGGAGGCCAGGGACCTCATCTGCCGCCTGAGGCCGGGTACCTGAATTGCGCTTTCTAGTCCCTGCCTGCCTAACTCCCGCCCCCAACCCTCCCTAAACCCCTACTCCCCCCCCTCAGATTGTGAACTGGCGCACGCACCTCAAGTTCCCCGAGGAGGTGATCATCTCCCGGGAGGCCAGGGACCTCATCTGCCGCCTGCTGTGCGACGTGGAGCACCGGCTGGGCACCAGGAGCGTCGGCGACATCAAGGTGTGTGTGGAGTGTGTGGAGTGTGTGTGGAGTGTGTGTGGAGTGTGTGGAGTGTGTGGAGTGTGTGGAGTGTGTGTGTGGTGTGGTGTGGTGTGGTGTGGTGTGGTGTATAACGCACTGTGTGGTGGCGTGCTGCATTGCATCCTGAGAGGCCAGGGACCTTATCTGCCGCCTGCTGTGCGACGTGGAGCACCCGCTGGGCACCAGGAGTGTCAACGGCATCAAGGTGTGTGGAGTGTGTGTGAGAACATGTTCCACTCCTCCACCCCGCACCACCTTCCCACCCGCTCCCCCCCTCCCTCCCCCTCCTCCCCCCCCCGCCCCCCCCCGCCCCCCCCCCCCGCCCCCTCCGTTCCCCCAGAGCCACCCATCTCTCCAATGCTCCACTCCTCCCCACAACCCCTTTCCTGTGACACCCCCTCTTCCCCCACCCCACCCTCAGAACCACCCGTGGTTCCGCGGCCTCCCCTGGGACCGCCTGTACAAGATGGAGGCGGCTTTCCTTCCAGAGGTCAACGACGAGCTCGACACACAGAACTTTGAGAAGTTCGATGAGGTGAGTGAGAGACACGAGGTGAGTGCATGACATACTGAACTCAAGAAGAATGTGTTGTTAGTTGATTGTTACCTTTTATTCCCTAGGTTAATGATGAGCTTGACACACAGAACTTTGAGAAGTTCACTGAGGTGAGTGAGGCGTACAGTGAGAGACACACTGAACTAGGCACTTGCATGCATGGCATGGCATGATATGTTCACACTCCTTCCCCCTCCCCTCCTCCCCCCCCTCCCCCCCCTCCCCCCCCCTTCCCCCTTCGTTTTCCTGTGTAATCCTCTCCAGCTTCCAATGCAATTCAGCAAGCCACCACGTCATGCTTATTTTATTATCCACACATCCTTTTTTCTCTTCCCCTCGTTCTCTCTTCCCCTCGTTCTCTCTTCCCCTCGTTCTCTCTTCCCCTCGTTCTCTCTTCCCCTCGTTCTCTCTTCCCCTCTTTCTCTCTTCCCCTATTTCTCTCTTTCCCTATTTTCCTCTCTTTCCCTATTTCTCTCTTCCCCTCTTTCTCTCTTCCCCTATTTCTCTCTTTCCCTATTCTCCTCTCTTTCCCTATTTCTCTCTTCCCCTCTTCCCCTCTTCCCCTCTTCCTCTCTCCCTCTCGTCCCATCTTCCACTCCGCGTCCTCGCCCCTGCAGGTCGTTGAGGCCAGTGGAGCACAGAAGGCAGGCCCCTGGAAGAAGGTGAGTTGTAGCGTGCAGGAAGAAGGTGAGTCAGGATCAGATTCTTGAGGCGTCTCAAAAATCATCTTGGGTCAAAGGCGACCCAGTAGTCACCCCTGCAGGTCGTTGAGGCCAGTGGAGCACAGAAGGCAGGCCCCTGGAAGAAGGTGAGTTGTAGCGTGCAAGAAGAAACTGAGTCAGGATCAGATTCTTGAGGCGTCTCAAAACGACTTTTGAGGCGTGCAAATCGATTCTTGAGGCGTCTCAAAAATCATCTTGGGTCAAAGGCGACCCAGTAGTCACCCCTGCAGGTCTTTGAGGCCAGTGGAGCACAGAAGTCAGACCCCTGGAAGAAGGCGATTCAGCGTCAGATGCGTGCTTCCAATTTGTTGGGTGCTGAGAGAGGTACACGTGTGTGCGTGTCACACAGCCACGCAGCTCAAGAGGCGGCCCAGCTGTGGCTGAGATGACTTTTGAGTCGACTCAAAAGCCAATTTGTTGGGTGCTGAGAGAGGTACACGTGTGTGTGTCACAAGCCTCGCAGCTCAAGAGGCGACCCAGCTGTGGATGAGTCCGAGATGCTGCCATCCAAGAAAGGACGGTGACTATGTTAGCTACGTACGCCTACCACAGCATGTATATCGTGCATGCGACATGCTCACTCCTTCCCTTCCTTCCACTCCTTTTCCCATCCCTTCTCTCTGCTCCCTCCCTACATTCTCTCCCTACCCCAGATGCTGCCATCCAAGGACATCAAATTCGTATGCCACAGTGCCACACTTACCGCAACATGAAAATAGCGCAGGAGACACACTCAGTCACTGCTTCTACTGCCCGCCTTGTCCCATCCCATCCCCTCTCCCCGCTGTCTCGTCCACCCCAGATGCTGCCATCCAAGGACATCAATTTCGTCGGCTACACCTACCGCAACATGGAAATGCAGTCACTCTTTCTCTTGCACACCTTCTCCCATCCCCTCCCCTGCCCTACTTGTCCCGTCCCTTCTCTACACTCCCCGCTGTCTCGTCCACACCAGATGCTGCCATCCAAGGACATCAAATTCGTATGCCACAGTGCCGCACTTACTGCAACATGAAAATAGCGCAGGAGGCACACTCAGTCACTGCTTCCCTTGCGCTCCTTGTCCCATCCCATCCCCTCTTCCCGCTGTCTCTTCCACCCCAGATGCTGCCATCCAAGGACATCAACTTCGTCGGCTGCACCTACCGCAACATGGAGACACACTCACTCACTCTTTCTCTTGCCCACTTGCCCCATCCCTTCTCCCCGCTTTCTCTCCCTATCCCAGATGCTGCCATCCAAGGACATCAACTTTGTCGGCTGCACCTACCGCAACATGGAGACACACTCACTCACTCTTTCTCTTGCCCACTTGTCCCATCCCTTCTCCCCGCTTCCTCTCCCTAACCCAGATGCTGCCATCCAAGGACATCAATTTCGTCGGCTACACCTACCGCAACATGGAAATCGTGCAGGAGACGCATTCCCCTCTCGGTATGTAAGGTTTGGATGTGATGCCTCAACGTCTTGGCATGTGCATGCATGCTTTGCAGACTCAATGTAACACGATAGTAGTTCAGGAGACACATTCATCCTCGGTATGTAGATTTGGATGAGTTGCCTCAACACGCTTCAAGTGTAGGCATACCCACGCTCGCGCCCCACCCTTTTTACGCCATGTGTTCTCTTTTGTCTGGTAGACTTTCATGTCGCCTCGTTTGTACGGCCCTGATGCACCCAGCTGGCCATGCCTTTTCCATTCCCTGTCTGGCCTGGTCATATGCTATGTGGAGAAAGACGCGTCCTGCGTCTAGGCCGCTTGCGTCCAGACGCAGCGTCTTAGACGCAGGACGCTAGAGGAGGGCCTTTAGGACGCATGAAAAGACGCATGCCCGGGCAGGGCAAAAAAAACCCCCGGGCAGCCGAAAAATGATGTTATAGGGTATGAGAAGGGGGGGGGGGAACGACGATGCACACATTTGAGGCAAAATCGTCCCCTTCAAATTTTCAGGGTTTAGGGTTTACGAAGGAGAATTGTCTTGGTAAACCCTCTAGGATATTTTTGATGGTCGAAATGGGTTAGGGGGGGTCGACATGACGCGAAATTGACAGTCGCGTCGAAATCTTAAAGTCAATTTCGCGCTGGGGCAAATTTGTTTTTTCCGGTCAGCCCGAAAAAAAAACGGGGTGCGACGCAGGACGCAGCAGGACGCGTGCGTCTTTCTCCACATAGGTCATATGTAGTCAAGCCCTTAAGCCAGGATGGCCCTTTTGGAGTGAAGGAAAACAAAGGGTTTCTTTTCTTAAGGTGCCTCAAACACTAACTCATAAACCTGTCTGTCTGTCTGTCTGTTTGGCTGTGTACTATTTCTATTTTGCGTTGGGTCTTGGTCATGTGTTTTGTGGCAGGTGGCGCGTTGGAGCTGAAGAAGAAGAGCAAGGGGAAGAAGCCAGGCCTCAACTCCCTCTTTGCAGGTAACCACCTCAAAGCCACATATCCCAATGGCCCTCGTCTCTTCTCCCACCTCACATCCCACACACACACAGATGCCTCACCTGCATGGAATGGCAGGATCCACACGACAAGCACTCCCACAGCTCTGGCAGTCGGCAACGCTACATTACAGTCACCCTGAATCTCTTTCAGTCACCCTGTATCTCTCTTTCACATCCTATGAACAACACCTCTCCCACTTCGCCCGTTGATATCGCTTACAGTCCCGCCTCCCATCATCCTTCCCCCACCTCCTCTTTCTCTCCTTCCCGTCTTCCCCTCTTTCCCTCCCCCCCACACACAGACGCCCCAGGTGCATCGGGAGGGGATGAACCTGTCACAGCACACTCCCACAGCTGTGGCAGCTGGCAGCAGGGCAGCACTACAGATCTAAACGGTCAACCTTTATCCATCCCACGAGTGCATACACATTGCTAGGTGACTTTTGAGTCGACTCAAAAGTCACCTCGTTACTATGGCACACGACAGCAGGGCAGCACTACAGCACTACACGGTCAACCTTTGAACATCCCATGAGTGCATACACATTTCTCCCTCTCACATGTCCCCCCCTTGTTTCCTTACCCACACAGACGCCCCAACCGCATCTGGAGGAGGGGACCCCCACGATAGCCACTCCCACGGCTCTGGCAGCAGGGCAGCAGTTCAGTCACCTCCCCTCCCCCTCCCAATCCCCTCCTTTCTCCCGCGAAAACACAGACGCCCCAGCGGCATCTGGAGGGGGAGACGCACACGACAGCCACTCCCACGGCTCTGGAAGCAGGGCAGCACATGGGGGACAGGGAGGGGGCGGGGGGAGAGGGGGAGGGGATTACGGGAGGGATGATGGGTATGACGATAGGGGTAGGGATTATGGCAGGGACGGGGGGAGAGGAGGGGGTGGGGGAGGTGGAGGAGGGAGGGGAGGGTATGATGAGTATGAGGAGGAGGAGGCTCCCCCAAGGTCGTCTAAAGGAGGGGGAGGGGCATACAGGCAACAGGAGCAGCATGGGTATCAAGGAGGGGGAGGTGGTGGTGGGGGAGGGGGTGGGTATAGCAGTCGTGGTGGTGGCGGTGGAGGTGGTGGAGGGGGGCGGTATTAGAGGAGTAATGATGCTGCTGATCTATGAACACACGTGGCTGGTGGCGAACATTCGTTGAAGGTAGCTCCTTTTCTTTATAACAGTGTCGTGTCGGGCAAGGTGATGCATGCTTAGCATCACACGGGATCTGTGGGTTGGACCACAGGGATGGAGGGCGAGCATCCTTGAGAGCACGAGGGGAATATTGATGCGGTATTGGTCATTTATGCCCATAATTATGTAATCCTAGGTGCAACGGATAACGGTGGAAAACTTTCTGATCCTGTAAAAGTCTAAAGCGTTAAAGAGTCATCTCTTAAAGCAGCAGTATACATTTGAAAGTACTATTGGTTTAGGAACAGTACCCACCAAAAGCAAACCCCAACGAAAACGAATGGGCTTGGCAAGAGGCTCGGCGAAAATTTGGAGGGCTGACATTTGCGAACATGAGAAATCCTCCCAACACCCAACCCCTAGACTGACACTAACGGACTCGAGGATAAGCGACTAATTTTTAGGTAAGGCCTTGATACGACTACATAAAAATTGACTAGGAGGGGCGAGGAGCAGCGCTACCACTAAAAAAAGCGCTGGTGGTAAGGCGACACGTGTCACAAGGCTGGCTCGCGAGATTAACGAGTAAGTTTTTTTACAGCCAGTCGCCAATCTCTCATGCATAGACTTGTTCAAATGCCTCGCGCTAGATGTAGGAATAGCCTTCGGAGAGGCGCGCCGCATTTCCCATATTCCCGTCGTCGGCGACATTCTCACAGAACCCGCAGCTCGAGCGCCGCACCCGCAGCTCGCGACACCTTCTTAGCGAGTCGCGAGCGTCTCGCCTAACACCCCGCTGCGCGCCTCACCCGTTAGCGCCCCACCGCTTCGCGCGTCACCGCTTAGCGCCCCACCGATTAGCGCCTCACCGCTTAGTGCCTCACCGCTAAGCGCCTCAACCACTGCGATTCCTCTCAAGTTTTGGCGCAGGCCTGTGCTGAACGTGTAACCTAGCTCGCCTCGCTTTGCACGTCATCAGCTTCACGCTCACCCTCTGCTGGCCTCACCTGCTGCTCGCGCTCTGGGCGAATGTCGAATTCGCCTCAGAGGCTGCGCTCCGTGAGGCTGTCGCCTCGCTGCTCGCCTCCCACTGGTTGCTGTTTTGTCGGCAACTCACTCTCCCATTCATCGAGCAGGCCAAATTGCCACCATTGAATGGCCGCGCTGCCATGAATGCGGGGAGCCAGTCGTCAAACCATTTTCACAGACCCATTTCCCCTCCCTCTTCTCTCATTTCCCCACCTTCCCTCTTTCTTTTCCACCACTACTCCTCATACCCCCCTTCTCTCCCTCCTATTTTCCGCCCTTCCTCCTCTCATTTCCCCCCCCCCTGCTTCCTCGATGTTTTCCCCACTGCTCCTCCACACATCCCCCCTCTTCTCCCTCTCATTTCCCCCCTTTATCCATCTCTGCTTCCCCTCGTTCCCCTCTCTACTTCCCCTTGTTTCCTCCTCTGCTTCCACTCGTTTCCCCCTCTCCTTCCCCTTGTTTCCCCCTCTGCTCCCCCTCGTTTCCCCCCCCCCCTTCCCCTTGTTTCCCCCTCTGCTCCCCCTCGTTACCCCCTCTCCTTCCCCTTATTTCCCCCTCCCCTTCCCCTCGTTACCCCCTCTCTTTCCCCTTTCCCCATCTGCTTCCCCTCGTTCCACCCTCTCCTTCCCCTTATTTCCCCCTCTGCTTCCCCTCGTTCCCCCCTCTCCTTCCCCTTATTTCCCCCCCTGCTCCCCCTCGTTCCCCCCTCTCATTCCCCTTATTTCCCCCTCTCCTTCCCCTCGTTCCCCCCTCTCCTTCCCCTTGTTTCCCCCCCTGATCCCCCTCTTTCCCCCCTCTCCTTCCCCTTGTTTCTCCCTCTGCCTCCCCTCGTTCCCCCCTCTCCTCTTCCGTGTTTCCCCATCTGCTCCCCCTCGTTCCCCCCTCTACTTCCCCTTGTTTCCCCCTCTGCTCCCCCTCGTTCCCGCCTCTCCTTCCCCTTGTATCCCCCTCTGCTCCCACTCGTTCCCCCCTCTCCTTCCCCTTGTTTCCCCCTCTGCTTCCCCTCGTTCCCCCCTCTCCTTCCCCTTGTTTCCCCCCCTGATCCCCCTCTTTCCCCCCTCTCCTTCCCCTTGTTTCCCCCTCTGCATTCCCTAGTTCCACCCTCTCCTTCCCCTTATTTCTCTCTCTGCTTCCCCTCGCTCGTTCCCCCCTCTCCTTCCCCCTATTTTCCCCTCTGCTTCCCCTCCTTTCCCATATGCTTCTTCACATATCCGCCCTCTTCCGCCCCTCTTTTTATCATCTCCCCTCCCTTCCACCGCCTCACCGCAGCCTAGGGCACCTCCCACGTTTTCCCCCTCTCCTGTTCCGTGAACGAGCCCCTCACCACTGCTCCTGTATGCATTATAAACCCCTGAAGAAAGCCCATGCTTCGTCCCCTGCTTCTCTATTTCCCTGCTTTTTACCCTGCTTATGCTCCCTCCTCCCCTTGCTTACCCTCCCTCTTCCCTTCTACCTCTCTTTCCACTTTTCAGCTCCAGTGCCGTGTTTACCGCGTTCCCTGTCCAATTGAGGGCTCTCGAGTGCAGCATGGAACAAGATAGACTCTACTTGCTTCAGCATAGGCTAGCATGTGCTCCCACGGTGTGTTGAAAGTAGTTGAATGTTACAGCACAACTTTACAGCCAATGATGTTCACATACCGTACATCCGATACAAATCACGTGATCTGAATTTCAGGTGTCTGTCCTCTAACCCTAAGCCAACTCCACATTTGTGTATGAGCACAGCAATGATGTCAAAAAGGAGCTTTGGGTTGTATCGTATGTACACATAGAAAATCATATCTAAGTATACTAAACAGCACTATCGTCTACTCTTGGTGTCATCTTCTGCCATGACACACTCCTGCAACATAACGCCCCTCCCTTCACACTGACAAGCTCGCTTGGGCCAGGCGTTGTCGTGCTTGTAGCTGGAGCAGAGGGAATCGGCACACCAATATGGTGCTGACTTGGACGCAAAACCGGCAGCTTTGCATATGCATACCCACCTGGTACAGGTTGTATGACACCTTGTGTCACAGTGGTAAATAATGGGGCCCCAAACCCATGGGAAAGGCAGGGAGGTGTGATGGAAAGGCAGGGAGGTGTGATGGAAAGACAGGGAGGTGTGATGGAAAGACAGGGAGGTGTCCTGGAAAGGCAGGGAAGGATGGCGGTGAGGATTGCGAGAGTGAGAATGGCAGGAAGAGTGCGTGGGGAGGCGTGGCGAGTGTGCAAGGCGGACGGGACTCGTCCTGATCCCGTGGCCGATGGGAAGGAAAACGATATGGGGAGACATGAAGGAGAGATTGGGAGCGACGGAGAGGGATGGGGCGATCTGGAGGAAGGAGGGGGTAAGGGGATGCTCGCAGCTACAAGCAGGACAAAGCATGGCTCAGTGACAAAGGAGGGAAGAGGCACAGAGAGCGAAAGGTAGAGAGGTGCTGATGGGGACAGCGCTTGAGGAGCAGTTTGAAGAGGGCGGGTTGTGTATAACAGGCCCTGGAAGAGAGAAGAAAGAGATGGGAAGGCAGGGAAAATGAGGGCGTGCAGGGGGGAAAATGTGGGCGTGCAGGGGGGGAAATGTGGGCGTGCAGGGGGGGAAATGATGGTTCTTAGCGGTCATAGGTTGACCTTCAGAATCCTCATCCGTGTTTTTTTCCCAAGCACGGGCGGTCAAAGGGGTGAGTGAGCTGGTGGGGAAGGGAGAGGAATAAGAGGGAAGTGCAGAGAGGGTAAGAGCAGGGGATGAAAACTGAGCAGGGAGGAAAAGAAGGGACAGGGTGGTACGGAGAGGGAAGGGAAGGCTTGGCAAATGAGGGCAAGCAGGGGATGAAAATTGAGCAGGGAGGAAAAACAGGAGCAGAGGGGGAAAAGAGGAGGAGTGGGTGGAAAGAGGTGGAGTACAGGAAAGGATGAGCAGAGAGGGGAAAGATGAGCAGAGGGGGACAAGAGGAGCAGAGGGGGAAAAAGGGAGCAGAGAGGGAAAGAGGAGCAGGGGGGGATAAGAGGAGGGGAATGGGGAAAGAGGAGCAGTGAGGGAAAAGAGGAGGAGAGGGGGAGAAGAGAAGCAGAGGCGAAAAAGAGCGGAGGTGGGCAAGTTGAGAACATGGAGAAGGAGGAGCAGAGGGGGGAAATAGGAGAAGCAGGAGGTGAAATGGTGGGAAGCAGGGGCGGAGATGTGGGAGGAGGAGAAGGAATGGCGGGAGGACGGAAGGCACGGCGGGAGGGGGAGGAGGCATGGTGGGAGGAGAGGGGGTGGCAGGAGGAGGAGAAGGCATGTTGGGAGGAGGAGAAGGCATGTTGGGAGGAGGAGAAGGGGTGGCGGGAGGAGGAGAAGGCATGGTGAGAGGACGAGAAGCTATGGTGAGAGGAGGAGAGGGGGTGGCGGGAGGGGGAGAAGGCATGGAGGGAGGAGAAGGGGAGAAATGAGGGCAAGCAGGGGAGAATTGAGGGCAATCAGGGGAAGAAATGCGATCGTGCAAAGGGGGAAAATAAGGCGTACAAGGGAGAAAATGAGGGCGTGCAAGGTGGGGAAACGAGGGCAAGCAGGGAGGGAAAACGAGGGCGTACATGTGGGGCAGTGAGGGCGTTCAGGGGGGGGTTTTGAGGGCGTGCAGCGGGGATGCGGAAGCACAGCCGCTGCAAGAGAGTGAGAGAGGGCCGAGGGCCTTATTTGAGTGCAGCTCGCGAAAGGAGGCCGCCGCGAGACGCGGAGAGGCAGCGAGGGGAGGCAGGGAAGATGCGCATGCGCGGGAAGGCGAGAGGAGGAAACGCGTGGAGGCGAGAGTCGCTCGCGCGGGGAGGCGAGAGGGGCAGGCGCGGGGAGGCGAGAGGAGCAGGCGCGGGGAGGCGAGAGGAGAACGCGCGGCAAGGCGAGAGGAGGCCGCGCGTGGAGGCGAGAGGAGGCCGCGCGGGGAGGCGAGAGTCGAGCACGCGGGGAGGCGTGAGGAGGAAGCACGGGGGGAAAGCGAGAGGAGAGCGCGGGGATGCGAGAGGAGCACGCCCGGGGAGGCGAAAGGAGAATTCGAACCGGGAGGCGATAGGAGCAGGAATGGGTAAGGCGGCGGAATGGGGATTGCGGGCGGAAATGAGGTTGCGGAAAGGGGATTTCAGTGCTCTGGAACGAGGGCGTGCAGGGGGGGAAACGAACGAGGCAGCGTGGTTCGGCGAGGGGAGACTCACTCCGGACGTCGTCCGGCGAAAGGCGAACGACGGAAGGCGAACGTGAAAGGGAGGGCACGCGAGCGGCGAGGCGTTCAGCAGCGGCTCACCGCGCGCGGTGAACGGCGGACGGCGAGCTAGGAGTGGAGGACGGGATGGGATGGCAGATGCTAGCGCGTTGAGGCTAAGCGGGACGCTGTGGGGAGGGGAGGCGCTAGCGCTAATGGCCTTGCGGTGAGGCAGCGAGAGAAGGCGTGGGGCGGCCTTGTCCCCTGGTGGCGTGGTCTAAGCGAGTGCGTACGAATGGGCAATTTGTCTGCGCATGCGCTTGAACAGCGTTACGCGGTTCAATAAATAGTTCTGTCCCTAAATCCAGCGGTTAGGTTAGAACGTTGCCCAGTCTACGGGAAATCAGCTACCGGAGTAGGAGCTTGTGGGCTATCCTCTCACTACTGCAGTTTCAGTTTCCTTTTGCAACTCCTTAGGTTTTGAACTGTGAGTGCGGGGAGTTGGACATGGGGCGTTTGGGGGACTCGCTTCGCTTGTGAAGCGGGGAGGAGTTGGGGTTGTAATCGCGTAACCAGTTTTTCAAGTTCCTAAGGTTTTTGAAACCCCTGCTTGCAAAAGTATACTGTTGCTTTAACAGGGTCAAATCCCCTGGGTCAAATTCCCTAACTCAGAAGGTGATTGATGTGGGTGGTGGAGTCCGTCATGCTCCACCCCTCTCCGAATACAGTAAGCGATAAACTTATGCGAAGAATTTACATTGCGAATTTCTGCGACTAATTATCCCCAAACAGATCAGCGAAAGCCGCCGCTGTACCCTAACGAGATAAGTGACGACATTTGGCGACAAATTTGTCCCGAGACACGCATCCTTGTAACCATGGTCACGCTGTAGATTGCCGAGCGGGAGAATTCGCTTTGTCTGGCACCACTACACTAGGATTCACGAACAAACATTTTCGGTATTCGCGCGACGCGGGTGGTTTCCCGCCTCATGGCCGTTTGCACTGTTCGACAACACCCATATACACGGATGAAGGGTTCCTACCTACCTACAGCCCACTGTCATAGGTGACGTGTTTCACAGCCTTGAACACATCACCGGCATAGGGAGGATTCGGGTCCTCCTCCATCTATCTCGGAGAACCTGCAGCACTGTTTGACATACATAGTCATGTACAATACTGTACCGTCGTCGTCAGCGAATTTGTGGAGTCGAAGCTTGCGTTGCGTGTCTTAGAAAGTTTCTAACTTGTGTACGCAAGGCGATCATCACAACTTCCACCAGTTACCTAGTACTTTGGGACGACTCCGTCGACATCCGCGTTAATAGCGCATCATTCTCAACCGTGCGCGGCGTGCGCATCATTCTACTAGGACTGTTTATAGTAGTAGTATCACTACGAACTCTCTCCCAGCACTCGCGGGGAACCAGCATTCGGCCCTGCGCAAGTGCGTTTGACCAACGCCATTTTTCCAGACGTCGCCTCGTTAAGCTTCTCACCTCGCCCCGCGTTCCGTCTCCCGCGCTTCTCATGCTCTCGCCGCATCGCTCTCGCCGCATCGTTCTCTCAATCCTCGCGTGCTTTCGCTCTCCCACCGCGCCGGGCCGTGCTGCTCTCGCTCGACTCTGCCTCCTTCTGGAGCGGCGCGGCTGCGCGAGTTAGACGCGCGGGGCGGCCGCCAGTGAGCTTCGGCCAGCAGTGAGCGACGGCCGGCAGTGAGCGACGGCCGGCAGTGAGCGACGGCCGGCAGTGAGCGACGGCAGGCAGTGAGCGACGGCAGGCAATGAAGGGACAGGCCGACAGCCGGTTGTGGGCCATAATCGGCGGGGGGATGACGATGATGCCGAAGCGCACTCGACAGCTGGCGATTGTGAGCCTCGAGCCTCGTGTCGCCCATTGTTTGTTTGTTTGTTTTTTTTGTGTGTGTTTTTTTTTTGTCAAGAATTTATTGTGATTTTTGTTTCGCCCACTTTCCCGTCAGCTCCGTGCCGAAGCGCACTCTGAGTGCGTAAAGTTCACATTCATTGGGGGAGGGGGAAAGAGAAGGAAGGGGAGGGGGGGGGGGAAGGGGGGGGAAGAGTGGGCGGGGAGGGGGGAGAGGGCTAGGTTGGGGGAAGGGGTTTAACAGCTTAGACAGCTCGTACCGAAGCGCACTCTGAGCGGAAACAAAACACATTTGAGGGGGGGAGGGGGAAGGGGGGTTTGGGAGGGTGAAGGGGGGAAAGGGGGTTTTGGGAGGAGCGGAGAGGGGAGGGGAGAGGAGGGAGGGGGTTTGACAGTTTCGGCAGATAGGTGTCGAGGCACATACCAAGTGCGCGAATTCCGCATTCGGGGAGGGGGAAGGGAGGGTGGGGGGAGGGGGCGGGGAGGAATGGGCGAAGGGGGGGAAAGGGGTGGGGTGGGGAGGAGTGGGGAGGAGTGGGAAGGGTGAGGAGGGGGGATGGTGACATCTTCAGGCAGATCCTTGGCAATCGGCGCTCTTGTAGCCATGCGGATGAATGAACGATGCACGGCATTCATATCACACACACAGCCGTGCCGTGTCGTGCTCTGATCTGGATACACACAGCGCCGCTTTCATCCCAAAATCTACGCACATTGTTCAGTCGATAGGCGTTGGTTGGAGGTGTAGTGCTCTGAGTCCCAGAGTCTGAGACGCCATGCCTCTCTCTCCTCTCCTCCTCACGAGCGAGTTCGATTGCAGCAAGACTGTCTCCTTCTCCTCGCCTCTCTTCGTCTCACTCACCACACAATGTCATGCCGTATTGCCCCATGCCGTATTGCCCCATGCCGTATCACCCCATGCCGTATCACCCCATGCCGTATCACCCCATGCCGTATCACCCCATGCCGTATCACCCCATGCCGTATCACCCCATGCCGTATCGCCCCATGCCGTATCACCCCATGCCGTATCACCCCATGCCGGTTTGCCCCATGCCGTGTTGCCACGTGGCAGGGCATATCGACAGGCTGCCTCGTCACCGCCGTTCTCTCTCTCTTTGCCATGCACCAGGTGCGCCGCAGGTGCGCCGCAGTGCTCTGCTCTGCTCCCTCTCATGCACCAAGTGCGCTGCTCTCATGCACCATGTGCACACTTCTCACACATTCTGCTCCCATGTGATGAGACGAGACAATTTCTTAGGCGCGTAAATAATTCTGTCAATTCGCACGGATTTCATAAATTTGAGGCGCCTCACAAAATGTTCACCTCCTCATGTTCTGAAACTATCGGTCAAGGACTCTGTTAACACCCACATTCTTGTCTTTGCCATGCCATGCCATGTCACGTCACGGTGTGGCATGACGTGGCATGTGACGTGGCATGTGATGTGGCATGTGACCTGGCATGTGACGTGGCATGTGACGTGGCAGCACCAAGAGTGGGAGGGAAGGAAGCCTTCAGCTGACCTTGACGCGCGACTCATGGCGATTGAAGGTATGCTCTGTTAGCCATTCCACTCTTTCCATTCCACCCCTCCCATTCCCCATGCGCCCCCCTTCTCTCCATCCTTCCCCCTCCCTCTCCATGCGTCATTTTCTGCTCATTTCCTCCCACTGCCTCAAGCCCACGTACCTCCCATTCCATCAACTTGATCCCTCCCCTTCGTTTCTGCCATCTCCCCTCTCTCTCCCTCCTCTCCTCACCCTTGTCTCGTTTCCCCTATCCTTCCTTTCCCTATTTCCCCTATCCTTCCTTTCCCTATTTCCCCTGCCCCCCCCCCCGCCTCAACCCCCCCTCAACCCCCCTTTCCCCCAGACCACGTGGCACGAATAGCAGCGGAGAACGTGGCAGGGATGGTGCGGGAGGAGGTGGGGCGGCTGGGCGGGCAGGTGGAGGGGAGGGGTGTTTTGAGCCAACTTAAGAGTTGCCCCCCTGCCTCCCCCCCCCTACAATCTCCACCCCCCCTCTCTCTGCCTTTCCTCCGTCCGCACCCCCCATCTAACAACAGAGCACGTGGCATGAATCGCAGAGTCTAGTTTTGAGGTGCCTCAAAACTAGACATCGAGCAACAGAGCACGTGGCATGAATCGCAGAGTCTAGTTTTGAGGTGCCTCAAAACTAGACATCTAACAACAGAGCACGTGGCATGAATCGCAGAGCAAGACGTGGCGGGGGTGGTGCGGGAGGAGGTGGGGCAGCTGGGCGGGCAGGTGGAGTGGAGTGGAGGGCACCTGTGAACTGACTCAACATTCGCCCCCCTACCTACGCCCCCCCTACCTCTTCTCTCTCTCCCCACAGAGCACGTGGCACGGGTAGCAGCGGAAAACGTTACAGGGGTGGTCCGGGAGGAGGTGGGGCGGCTGGGCGGGCAGGTGGAGAGCGTGCAGGCGCTGCAGCGCGCCAGAGAGTGGCGCCCCCTTATCTCCTTCCCCCCCTCCGCCCCCCTCCCCCCAGAGCATGTGTCACGAATCGCAGCGGAAAACGTGACAGGGGTGGTGCGGGAGGAGGTGGGGCAGCTGGGCGGGCAGGTGGAGAGCGTGCAGGCGCTGCAGCGTGCCAGAACCGAGGCGGGCGGCAACGGGACGGCGGACATGGGCGGCGACTGGGCGGTGGTGCTGGAGGCGCGGGCACGGGACGCGGAGCAGCGGGCGGCACAGCTGAATGAGACGGTGGGGCGGCTCACGGCCGGCATGAGGAAACAGGCGGCTGAGATTGCGGCTCTCAAGGTGGGTGCAGTGGGGTGCAGTGCGGTCAAGGTGGGTGGGTGCAGTGCAGTGCAGTGAGTGGGTGGACTTATGGACACCAACCGCAGCTGAATGAGACGGTGGGGCGTCTCATGGCTGGCATGCAGAAACAGGCGGCTGAGATTGCGGCTCTCAAGATAAGAACGGTGCGGGTGGGTGTGGTGCGGTGTGGGTGGGCCCATGGCCATGGGTGGGTGCTGTTGGGGTTCATTTCACACGTCCCTACTTCTACCCTCTGCCATGCCATGCCATGCCATACCATGCCATGCCATGCCATGCCACTACATCATGCGCGTTCTCCATGTGCATGCATGCATACACACATGTACACGCACAGGCAGCAGAGCAGGTGGCGGCGGGAGCAGCAGGGCTGCCCAAGCGGCCAAGAGGCAAGATGGTGGTGTTGGAGGATGAACCCTCTCGCTGGCGCCCAGAGTAGGACTTTTGAGGTGCCTTAGAGTACGATTCCTCCTGCATGTGCCTGTCTGCATTCCTCCCGCTTGTGCCTGTCTGCATTCCTCCCGCATGTGCGTGTCTGCATTTGTCCGCATACATGCGTCGATCCACACATGCACGCACAGGCAGCAGAGCAGGTGGCAGCAGGAGCAGCAGGGCTGCCCAAGCGGCCAAGAGGCAAGATGGTGGTGCTGGATGATGACCCCTCCTGCATGTGCGTGCCTGCATTTGCTGCATACATGCATACATACATACATGCATGCATACACACATACATGCACACACAGGCAGCAGAGCAGGTGGCGGCGGGAGCAGGGGGGCTGCCCAAGCGGCCAAGAGGCAAGATGGTGGTGTTGGATGATGACTCCTCTCGCTGGCGCCAGCACTTCTTCCATCGCACCGGCGCCTACGGCTTCATTCAATACAGGTGCGATTTATGAGGCGTCTCAGGGACTGGCTTCATCATGCGTCTGCCTCACGCCAACGGCTTTTGGGGTCCCTCAAAAGCCAGCGCTCCTTCCTTCATTCATTACAGGTGCGTCTGTCTGTCTGTCTGCTCCCTCCCACTCACGCCAATGTCTTCTGATGCACAGTGCATCATGCACTTCACTTCAGAGGTTAGCACTCCTTCCATCCCACCGGCGCCTATGGCGTCATGGTCATCATTCGCTACAGGTGCGTCTGTCTGTCTGTCTGCTCCCTCCCACTCACGCCAATGGCTTCTGATGCATGCACAGTGCATCATGCACTTCAGAGGCTAGCACTCCTTCCATCCCACCGGCGCGGCGGCGCCTATGGCGTCATCATTCAATACAGGTGCGTCCGTGCCCCAATGCCACATCAGCAGCTTTTGACGCACCTCAGAGCAAAAGCCATCCAGTACAGGTATATCATGTCGGAGAAACAGCTCTGCCTGCCATCTGCCTTCATTCTGATTCTCTTCCTCTCTGAAGCTTCTTGTGTTGCCTCAGCCACTCCCATGAAAGAGACAAAGCTCCCACCCCAAGGGTCCTCCCTGAGTGGTGTGTCACCTAGCCGAAGGATGAAGGCAACAACGATCCACTATACGAAAGGATAACAAGAGAAAAGCAACGAGTGAGTGTGTGTTAGTGAATTAACCTGTCCCTGGCTCGAAGCGTGCATTTCTCAATGTGCGCCTCGAGCCTGGGTTGGTTCGTTCACATTGGTTCCTTGGATTTCACCCCTTGGAGCTCTCCTACCAACTTCGCGGCACTCTCCCTGGTCCCCAACTACCTACACCCCAAATGCTCATATTCGGTAATGCTACACCCCACACTACACCGCAACATAACTGGCACCTTATATGCACAACCGTGCATATTCGGTGACAATCATCCAAAGGCTTGATGCCTCAAAAGCCATCCAGTACAGGTATATCATCCAAAAGCTCTTTCCACCGCACTCGCGCCTATGGTCTCATCATCCAGTACTGGTATATCAACCGTTGACACACCAGCACTGCGTGGGACGAGCACTGCGTGGGACGAGCACTGCGTGGGACCAGCACTGCGTGGGACCAGCACTGCGTGGGACCAGCACTGCGTGGGACCAGCACTGCGTGGGACCAGCACTGCGTGGGACCAGCACTGCGTGGGACGAGCACTGCGTGGGACCAGCACTGCGTGGGACGAGCACTGCGTGGGACCAGCACTGCACTATGCTCCTCCAATCCTGGGACTGCTCTGCTCTGCCTCCACTCCTCCTCTGCCGCCATCCACCTTCACCTCCCTTCGCCTACCCATTCACTCCCTTCACCCCTCGCCTGCCACCCACCCCTCCCCCATGCAAGCAGTGCATACCGGTTGGACCCGGCACGCATCGTGGTGGTGGGGCTGGGTGCGCTGGCTCAGCGCAGCAAGCGATCTACGAGGCATCACAAACCCCGCCCCTCTCTCGCCCCTTCTCCCCTCGCCCACCCCCCTGTAAGCAGCGCTTATCGGTTGGAACCGGCACGCATCGTGGTGGTGGGGCTGGGCGCTCTGGCTCAGCGCAGCAAGCGGCGGTTGGAGGGGTGCTGGTGGCACAAGATGGATGGGCACACGGTGATTGCCGGCAAGCTCACCCAGATGGTGATGGAGGAACATCACAACTTCCTGGTGGGTTGTGGGCTGGGGGATAGACCGTGAGTGGAAACACGGTGAACTGTGGGTTCACTGAAAAGCCAAGCGGCGGTTGGAGGGGTGCTGGTGGCACAAGATGGATGGGCACTCAGTGATTGCCGGCAAGCTCACCCAGATGGTGATGGAGGAACATCACAACTTCCTGGTGGGTTGTGGGCTGGGGGATAGACCATGAGTGGAAACACGGTGAACTGTGGGTTCACTGAAAAGCCAAGCGGCGGTTGGAGGGGTGCTGGTGGCACAAGATGGATGGGCACACGGTGATTGCCGGCAAGCTCACCCAGTTGGTGATGGAGGAACATCACAACTTCCTGGTGGGTTGTGGGCTGGGGGATAGACCGTGAGTGGAAACACGGTGAACTGTGGGTTCACTGAAAAGCCAAGCGGCGGTTGGAGGGGTGCTGGTGGCACAAGATGGATGGGCACACGGTGATTGCCGGCAAGCTCACCCAGATGGTGATGGAGGAGCACCACAACTTCCTCGTGCTGTTTGGATCTCCATCCCATCTTTTCTCTTTCCAACTCCTTTTCCATATTATTAACCCAATTGTATTTGCATGTAAGGCCGCCGGCCATGTTACGTAATCAATGGATTCAGACTCCTCTGATCGACGGGGGCTTAATCATTCCTCTCGTCCCTGTCCTGTGTGTTCTGCTGCTACTAGTCTGTGCGCCGTCTGTGTTTCGTGGTGTGGTGTGGTGCAATATGCTGCGGTGCGTTGCGGTGTGGTGTGGTGTGGTGCGGTACCCTGTGTGCAGTACGAGATGGTGGTGCTGCAGTGCGTGTTGGAAGAAGAGGTGGAGGAGACGGGAGGGCATCTGAGGATCTATATGGACCGTCAAATGCTCTACCCTTACCGAGAAGATGTCAAGGAGGTGAGGACTGGATGAAGTTTGAGGCGTTGCAGAAGTGGTGCTGCAGTGTGCTCTCTTTGTCGTCTACGACACCTTTTGAGACGTCTCAAAAGTCGTCTACTTTCACGCGGTTTTGAGACGTCTCAAAAGTCGCAGAAGTGGTGCTGCAGTGTGCTCTCTTTGTCGTCTATGACACCTTTTGAGACGTCTCAAAAGTCGTCTACTTACACGCGGTTTTGAGACGTCTCAAAAGTCGCAGAAGTGGTGCTGCAGTGTGCTCTCTTTGTCGTCTACGACACCATCCAGCCTGCTTCCATCCCTCCCTCTTGGCCTTACCCTATCCCTCCCTCCCTGCTTCCCTCCTTCCTGCCCTCCCCTCCCCTGAACCCAGAGCCTCAAAAGCGGAGAGGGTCCGTTGCCTTTCCACCTGGCCTTCTGCAGCTCCACGCTCTACGCGGAGGTGGAGCAGCGCAGCGTGCAGCAGCTCATCCACTACCACTACTCCCTCCCTCCCACCAACACAGAAGCTCGACAAGAAGAGAGGGGAAGAGACCCCACTCCCTTGGCGCCTGGCCTTTTGCAGCTCCACGCTCTACGCCGAGGTGGAGCAGCGCAGCGTGCAGCAGCTCATCCACTACCACCGCCCCCTCCCTCCCTAACTTGCTCCCTCCGTCCTCCCGTCTGCTCCCTCCCAGACGTTGAACAAAGCAGAGGGCCCACTCCCCTGGCACCTGGCCTGTTGTGGCTCAACTCTTTACGCGGAACTAAAGGAGCGAAGCATGGTGCACTTCATCCACTACCACCACCCCCCCCCTCCCTCCCTCCCTAACTCCTGGTGAATAGCCTACTGCAGCTCCATGCTCTACGCGGACGTGGAGGAGCGCAGCGTGCAGCAGCTCATCCACTACCACCGCTACGCGGGCGGCTACGACCACTTTTGTGCTCTATGACACCGTCGGGCTGCCTCTTTCCCTCCCTTCTTCTTGCCCTTACTCCCTCTCTTCCTCCCTCCCTCCCCCTCTCCCTCCTCGCCCTCCCACCAAACGCAGAAGCTCGAGAAGAAGGGAGGGGAAGAGACCCCACTGCCCTGGCGAGTAGCCTTCTGCAGCTCCACACTCTACGCAGAGGTGGAAGAACGAAGCGTCCTCCAGTTCATCCACTACCACCGCTACGCAGGCGGCTACGACCACTTTGTGCTCTACGACACCGTCGGCCTGCCCCCGTCGCTCATGGCGATGCTACAGCCCATGCTGGACGACGGGCTGGTCACTGTCTCTGACTTCACCCAGGCGTATCAATTTGACGCCTGGTTCTACTCCCAGGTGCGTTACATTGCCTCGCAGGTGTTTTTCAACGGCCAGGGTTGCCCCCGCTGCTCATGGCGATGCTACAGCCCATGCTGGACGAAGGGCTGGTCACCGTCTCTGACTTTACTCAAGCCTACCAGTTGGATGCCTGGTTCTACTCCCAGGTGCGTCGCCTCTTCACAGGTGCGCCGTGCCCCCTCCCTAGATGCTGGACGACAGGCTGGTCACTGTCTCAGATTTCACCCACACGTATCAGTTCGATTCCTGGTTCTACTCCCAGGTGCGCTGAATTGCAGGTTTGTGGCCTCCTTGCCAACAGAGCATTGAGACGTCTCAGAAGTTGCTGACTTCAGGCAGTGGCGATGCATGACTGCGTGTACCGCATGCGCTGCGCACACAGGCCAACTGGATCGCATTCCCTCCTCTCCCCTCTCTCCCAAGCTCACCCCTCCCCGCTCCCCTTCCCACCTCCCCCCCCACCCCCAAGGCAGTGGCGATGCATGGCTGCATGTACCGCATACGCGCACAAGCCAACTAGATCGCCTGCCACCCTCCCCTCCCCTCCCCTCCCCTCCCCTCCCCTCCCCTCTTTCCCACCCTCGCCCCTCCCCCCGCCGCCTCTCCACTCCACCCTTCACTTCGCTGTTTCCACCAGGCAGTGGCGATGCATGACTGCATGT